CTTTTTCTCAATTCAGCACAACCACAATCTCTAGATACTGCATATCAATCCCCAGAACTCTTAACCGAGTGTGGCTGGTCTAACGGGTTTCTTGTACCATGTCTCAAGGAAGTGGCCTTGTGGTTCAGTCCACTTCTGGCTGAATATCCGGATGTTTAAGACTGGACTCAGGTACACCTGTGAGTCTGGCCTGTGTAAATCAGACTCAAAGTCCAGGGCAACCTAGGGTCATCCAGGATTGGAGCCATACCAGAACCTGGTGCAGATCTAACATGGTCCCAGCCAACCTCTCTAGGCCCATTAGTTTTCTGACACTAAGAGCATGCCCTGAATGCTTCAGAAGCCCAGCGCTTTCCTGGGGACAGTCCTGCTGTGCCTGCACTCCCTTTTCTTCTTCGTCTCTATCCAGAACATCTTTCTCTTCACTGTCTGGCAAAGTTCCACTTGCCCTTTCAGTTGTTATTTAATTCTCATTGCCTTGATCTGGGAGCCCCCAGGCAGTGCTTTCCTCTGTAGCAAGTCTTCGAGTTCTATCTATCCTGACATTTTCCAGGTTAATGAATAATATTCTGGCTGACTCCTCCACTAGACTGTCAACTCTCCAAATGACCAAATGACCCGGACTGGTCTCAGAATGAAGCCACATGCTCATGGGCTTTGGGTCAGTGTTACGAGTCTGATGAAATCTGGGCTCCTAGAGATTCGTTCTTGGCTGAAAGAGCGCCAGATGCATGAATTCTTCCATTAGGGCAGTGCACAGTGCAGTTAACACTCATTTTTGGAGGCAGTTCCAAAGGAAACATACAATTCACTTGTTTCTCATGCATTTCTGACAAAGGGGGAGAAGAAATAACCCTATAATTTCAGGTGAAGTGTCACTGGGCAAACAGACATAGTTAAAGAGACTTAGGGATTTTATGTGCTCTGAAGCTGTTGCAACTTATTTACTTTCATGATAGTGTTTTAATGGATTTGAAGGGTGGTAGAAATAGCAGTAAAATATTATATTTAGAGCCTTGTAGGTGCCCTATCACATTTCTTTAAAAAACAAGATGAATTCGATTTAAAGGGTAGTTATTTATCCTGAGATTTAAATTTCCCTACTTTTATGGGGCACCTGAGTGGCTCAGTCAGTTATGTCTGCCTTAGTCTCAGGTTTTAATCCCAGAGTCCAGGGATCAAGTCCTGCTTGGGGCTCCCTGCTCAGGGGGGAGTCTGCTTCTCCTTCTCCCTCTGCCCCTCCTCCTCATGCTCTGTCTCTGGCTTTTTCTCTCTCAAATAAATAAAATCTTAAAAAAAAAATTCCACTTTTGTGGTGTTAAAATATTTTCTTTTATGAAAAGCTGGTGATTATAAATGGCAGCATGGGTTTAAAAAAAAATAAATGTAGTCTATTTCTTCCTTCTTTTTTTTCTTAAGTAGGCTCCGTGCCCACCATGAGACTTGAACTCACAACCTCAAGTTTGAGAGTCATATGCTTTACCAACTGAGTCAGCCAAGCATCACTGGTCTATTTATTTCTGTTCCTCATTATTATCCCAGTTAGTTTAAATTATTTTTTAATTGAAATATAATATGCATACATTCCCATTAGTTTTAATAGCCCTATATTTATCATGGCTTTCTAACCTGGCAAAATGAAAAGTTGGGCAACCCCATGTAAGTCTCTGAAATTATTTTTTAAAGAAAACTTACTAGTTCATAAAATTGGATTGAGTTCAGCATCTCTCCCATTTGCAGAAAAGGAAATGAGGGCATAGGGAAGTTAAATGTTAAAGTGCTACAAACACACCCACACTAAAGGTTGCCTAGCTAGTTAACAACAGAGCCCAGACTACAACTGGGGCTCTTGCCTCCCAGGATCCAGAGCTCTTACACCCTATTCAGCTTCACAGGTGTTCAAAATTAGTACAAAGTATAGAATTTGGTCCTAAAACCATTCACAGTGCAGACCTGAGATGAATGAGTTTTCCACATCTCAGCAGATTACATGTTAAGCTCTACTGTGTTTTGCCACCATTATCTCTTACCATAGTGACAAATAATCTTTACATGGCATGAATTATGCATTTTTGTGATTCTCATCTGATCAAAACGCAACAGGACAGGATAAGATTTTATAAATGTACACAAATAAATATGCACTAATTTCATCACCTCCACCTAGAAGCTACTAAATTCATTTTCTTCCTTATCAGTTACGAAACAGCAGCCGCCACCACTTTTTTCTTGCAGCTCACAACCTAAGAGTTTAAATGCAATCCTGCTGCATCTAGGACAAGATGGGCCAGCTTACTCATCCTCACGTTGAGTCATGTAAATATCAGAAGATGACACATGTTACCAAGACCAATGTAAAAGTCTTTAAACTCAGCCCTGGAGCTAGGAAAATGTTCAAAACTGTGATGCAAAAAATTTTAATCCATTTATCTTGATTTCTCATTATTATTCTAATTAGCTTTGCAGTCCCTGTATTTATGGGTTTCCAATTCCTGCTGTTCATGGAAGTTGCTATTTTGAATGGAGACTCACATTCTTACCATTTTCTTATAAACATTTTGAATTAGTGGCCATAAACACAACCCCATTATTTGAAAGACACCAAAATAAAACAGAAGCCCTTACCTATAAAGGAAGGCAGGTATCCAGGAAAATTAAAGTAATATCTTACTTGGAGCCCTGGGCTTTAAAATTTTTTTTAAAATTTTGAAATAATTTTAGACTTCAGAAAGGTTACAAAAATAGTACATCTCTGGGGGCATCTGGCTGGCTCAGTCAGTTGACTGTGCAAATCTTAATCTCAGGGTTGTGATTTTGAGCCCCACAATGAGGGTAGAGACTTCTTAAAAATAAAATCTAAAAATATAGTACATCTCTGTATACCTGTCCTTTCCCTAAAGTTGATATCATATATATAACCATGGTACAATAATCACAAGAAATTAACATTGGTACAATACTTTTTACTACATGCTTCACTAGAATTTCACCAATGTTCACACTAAAGTCCTCTTTCTGGCTCAGGATCCAGTCCGGGATCTCACACTACATTTAGTTGTCCCATCTCCCTACTCTCTTCTGTGACCATTCTTTAGGCTTGTTTTGTCTTTCATGACCTTGACACTACTGAAGAGTCCTGGTCAATTATTTTGTAGACTGTCCCTCAATTGGGTTCATGTGATGCCTTGTCCTAAATGAAATGAGGTTAGACATTTCTGACAGAATATGACACAAATGATGTGCTTTTTCAGTATATCATATGAAGAGGACACAATACAACTTATTGGTGATGATGTAAACCTTGATTATTTGATTACGGTGCCCTTGGCTTCAAACTGTTCATTATCTATCATTCTTAAGCTCTTCATTAGCAGAGGTGATAACCAAAGTAATAGCACCCCTACACAGGGTGGGAAGAGAGGAAAAGACCTTCCTGACCTCCCACATGTAGCTGCCAGCAGATGGACTTATGGAAGGTTGGAGCTCAACACAGGACATTTAGTGCTCTAAGTCTCTGTCAGACACAGGCCAGAGATCTTGGCCTGTCAAGGGGCAGCAGGCAGCTGCCCTTCTTCCCAGGGGGAGAGGAGCTGATACAAAAGTATGTGTTTCTAGATTTCTGTTCTTCTTTCCCTTCATCCTCTACTTTGTTTACTTTGGTTTTCTTTGGCTAAGCCTTCTACACTTACCTCAGCTCTGATTTTAATGAAATTCCAGTAAGAATTTCTGGACCACTGCTTTGGGGTAATTACTTTACATGAATTCCCATAAGCTGCCACAAATAACAGCACCCCTGTCAGCCATCTTGAGGTCATCCACCTGTCCCCTCGACACAGATGGTGGTACACCTACAATCTAGTACAAATCTACACCACTTAATCCTGGAGGCAACACATGAACCAAGGTTGTTTGTTTGTTTTTTTCTTGTTTTTAATGGAGATATAATCCACATACCACAAAGTTCACCGTTTTAAAGTGCATAGTTCAGTAGTGTTTAGTATGTTTATAGGTTGTGCAACCATCACCTCTACCTAATTCCAGAATCTTTTCATTAGCCCAAAAAGAAATTTTTTCTTTTTTTTTTCAAAAAGAAATCTTGTAGCCATTGTTACTTTCCATTGCCCTCTGTCCCCAGCCCCTACAACCTCCTAATCTATTTTCTATTTCAATGGATTTGCCTATTTGAACTAAGGTAGTTTTGTTTTTTTTTTAAAGAATTTATTTATTTATTCATGAGAGACACAGAGAGAGGCAGAGACACAGGCAGAAGGAGAAGCAAGCTCCATGCGGGAAGTCCGATGTGGAACTTGATCCTGGGACCCCAGGATCACGCCCTGAGCCAAAGGCAGATGCTCAACCACTGAGCCACCAGGCATCCCAAGCTAAGGTAGTTTTGATCCCAAATAATAATAACCAAGGTGATCTCAATTCAGTTGACCTAGGAGGCACACACACTCACACATTCATAACGTTTGAGTTTGGCAACACCTCACCCTGCCTTTTCATACTTTGAACTCTCCATGCTACCCCATCCACCCAACTCTGTCCTAAAGGTGACATATGCATTTGTCTTACCCAGGTACAACCTTTCCTCCTCCATCAAAAACCACATCGGGCTCTATCAGTGTCCTGCACTGGTGAAGTAGTGCCTAGATAAATTTAGCTCTGGTGAGGTGCTAAGAAGTATCGGATTTACATTTTAGCAGAGAATTCTTGCCGTCCAGGCTTGGCTAGGATGGCCATGTTGCCCAGGTTGTTTAGAATTGCCCTGTTGCCCTGGGTTAATTATTAATAGCATCCCCTTTCCCTCTCAAAAATGTCCTGACTTGGGTGTTTAATTATATGATCACCCAACCTTAACCAACATAAATGACTATTCCTGGTAATTATATGTAATTTGGAAGCCAACAGAGAAAATACATTTAGGTAAATGAAGTTTCAGTACTCCCCCAATCACACCCCAGCTCTGCATTCCCATAAAAAAGTTTAAATTCACCAACCTGTAGGAATCAGGGTTTCATCCACAGGCAAAAAGGCATCAGCATCTATAGTGACTTCATGGTCATATATGTTTGGGGAACCCTGGAAGGGAAAGGTTGAGAAAGAAAATAAGAACTAATGCTTAGTCTTATTTTGTATTTTTGCCTTTAAAAAAAAAAAAAGATTTATTTGAGAGAGAGAGAGAGAGAACACAAGCAGTGGGGAGGGGCAGAGGAAGAGGGAAAGAGAATCCCAAGCAGGCTCCATGTTCAGCACTCAGTGGAGAGCCCCATGTAGGGCTCAATCCCATAACCCTGAGATCATGACCTGAGCCACAATCAAGAGTCAATCATTTAACCGACTGAGCCACTCAGGTGCCCCATGTACTTTTGCTTTTTAACTTCTCTTGCAGAAATATTTTTAGGCATTGAAAATCCCATTTCAGGACACCTGGGTGGCTTAGTTGATTAAGTGTCTGCCTATGGCTCGGGTCATGATCCCAGGGTCCTGAGATTGAGCCCCATGTCAGGCTCCCTGCTTAGCAGGGAGTCTGCTTCTCCCTTTTCCTCTGCCCCTCTCCCAGCTCATACTCTCTCTCTCTCATAAAAAAAAATAAAAAAAAAAAAAAGAAGAAAGAAATCCCATTTGACCTACGGCAATGATTAATATGTTCATTTAAATGTAGGTAGTTAGGTCCTCAACATAGCAACTGTACATTTGAAAGAAATTTTCCATGGGGTGGCTGAGTGGCTCAGGAGTTAAGGATCTGCCTTGGCTTGGGATGTGATCTCAGGGTCCTGGGATTGAGCCCCAGTTCTGGCTTCCTGCTCAGTGGGGAGTCTGCTTCTTCCTCTCCCTTCTGCCTGCTGCTCTCCCTGTTTGTGCTCTGTGTCAAATAAATAAAATCCTTTAAAAAAAAAAGTTTTCCAGTGTGAGCCCAGCATGTATTTTCTTTTCTAAATAGAATTATTAGTGTGAAAAGTCAGAGACATCAGTGTTTTGAAAGGCTTTTGGACTTTGACTTATTAGCAGAGGGGTTTCTCACGCTCTCCTCACATGCTACGCAAACAGAAGAACAAGAGCTGTTGACCTGAAACACACAAGTGCTGGATGGCCAACTATCACCAGCAGGCTTGGAGGTAGGGGTATCTCTCTCCTTTCTCTGGCTCAACTCCCATCCAGAGGACCCACCCTGTACCAACTGACAAAAGCCGGGGAGTCAGAACTGGAGTTACTTCCATTAACCATGCAGCCTGTCTTCCCAGGGGGAGTCAAAGACCAGTCAGTAATCAGAAGGCCTGGGGTCTAGTTCTGGTTATCATGGAGTGGCCCCAGGGTAATCACTTAACCTTGACTCTCTTGTCCTTCAGGGTAAAACTGGGCCAGTGATGCTCCCATCTTCTCCAGGGTTCTTGTGAAGAACAGTTTAGTAAAGCTGTGTTGTGCTACTTGCAAATTGGAAAAGACACATACAGATTTCTGATAAAAAGGATTATATTTTAATAGTATATTTTCAAGCTTCACAGCAAAAGATGTGTAAGGGCAACCAGGAGAGGGCTTTTGCTTAGTGAATGCTCAAAAATAAGCTAAACTAGTGTGTCTCCACTAGGGATGATTTTGCCAGAGGACAAAATTTGACAATGTTCTGGAGACATTTTTGACTGTCATGACTGGGGGTGGTAATGATACTGGCATCTAGTGGGAAGAGGCCAGCAATTCTGCCAAACACCCTATTAGACGCACCCCTGCAGCAAAGAAATTGCCTGACCCAACGTGTTAGTATGCTCGGGTTGAGAGACTGAGCTAAGCTAAACTGAAAGCTAGGCTGGGTTCTCCAGAAGCAAGCAGAAGGAGGCGGAACCCTGCAGGTTAACCGAAATAGATTCTCTAGTCAGAAAAACTTAGGCCCACATAATCAAATGGAGTTGTCCTGAGGACAAATGCCAGCATTTTAGAGACCTTGAGAATCTATGTGTAAACATGCCAGAAACTGCTTTAATGACACTCCGGGAAGGCTCTGTTTCTGAAGAACAGCCATGGTCTTGTGTCCTCCCCATGGGTACATATGGGCAGGGATAGGAGTGGACGGGAGACAAGACCAGGGCAGAGGCCTCTCTTCTGCCCACAGTTTCTATGCTTAGCCACTCGTTTAGCCCCTATTCTGACGTGAGAAGGTTGGTCCAAAATGGAAGGGGTCTACTGCATCTCCTAGAGAAGCTCTAGGCTAGAGTGGTCTCTCCTGCCTGGCTCTCCCTACTCCCATCTCCTCATGCTTCAGGGGTACTGCCAGCACTGAAGAGGCCTCTGCTTCTGAGGGGAGCAGAGATGAGGGAAGAGAACTGGGAGCTATTTCCTTGGCTCTCTTTCTCTCTCTTTTTTAAGATTTTATTATTATTTTTTTATTTGACAGAGAGAGAGAGAGAGCATAGCAGAGGGAGCAGGAGAGACAGAAGCAGGCTCCCCATCGAGCAGGGAGCTTAATGTGGGGCTCAATTCCAGGATCCTGGAATCATGACCTAAGCCAAAGGTAGCTACGTAACCAACTGAGCCACCCAGGTGCCCCTCCTTGGCTCTATCTGCTCAGTGCTCAGTCGAAGGCTGAGTAGTATTCCATTGCATGAATGTATCACAATCTGTCCATTCCCTTGTTGACAGACTTTTGCTTGTTTCCAGTTTTTTACTATTATGAATAAAGCTACTTAGGAATTTCCTTCTTCTATTTGCTTTGTAGCTCTAGGGCAGGAAGAAAATGATTCACCAAATAAATTGACAAGTCTGAGAGGTTAGGAAGAAGCTGGGGGGGAAGGAAAGGAACATTTATTAGAGAGCCACTCTCTTAATGGGCACTGGGTCACCAAGCGACACCTACATTCCTTTATTAAAGGAAAGCATGCTTCATTTTATAACTCTTCTGACCTGGAATAATGCGATGATCCATTCTGGTGGAATATTCCTGCTGGATTCATTTCCTTTCTAGGCTGATGAAAACCTGGCAAAAGAATGCGGATCCACCAACAGATCTCGAGGCCCACCTCTGGGTTCAGTGTTTGCTTTGCTTAGCTTTGCTCAGCTGCTACTAGTTCAGGACATTAACCATTTACAGAGCTCACTGTGGCCTGCATGGGGCTTTATAGACCTTTCCGTGCATTGCTACTACCACTGCCTTACTTCAGCTTTCATCACCTCTAGCAGGCTATCACCAACACTACAATACTACCCAAAAGCCACAGCAGCTCCTTTACTGGCACCCTCCCTTTTCCCTGGCAGAATGGTGACTTGTTGGTTCATTCTATGGTAGGCCACATACTCAGGGAAAGGATGGCCCCCCTAATCCCACCGGGTGAATTTTGATTGGCCTAAGCCCATCATGGTGGTCCAAATCCCTTGCTAGTATTGGGTTAGGCAGGGCAGGGACACACTTCTGGCCCATGAAATGTGAGGCAAAGTCTGCTGGGAAGCTTCTGGGAAGACTTCTGTTTAATCTTCAAAATGGAACATTGGAGGAATAGGAATAGGTCCCTTTTTCACTTGCCTCTGGATGTGACTATATGAAGAAGTGATTCCTGGAGCTGTGCCAACTATCTTGTGAACAGGAGAAGTTGAGCCCAAACACAGAAGCCAAAATACTGAAGAAGCAGAATAGAAAGATGGAAGAACCAGGGTCCTTGCTGACATACCCCATCCCCTAGTCATGCTGGAACCCCACTATGGCTTTTCATCTCCAATTCCCCCAGGCCACTTTCCTACCTCTTAGAATGTTTGTCCAGTTTGGGGTGAGATAAGGAAGAAACATCATCAACAACAACAAAGCCCAAACAACCTGTAACCTATAAACCTTTTTCATTCTTTGAAAAACACAGTTCTCTCTTCCCCCCAGGCCACTGACACTCAGAAGTGATGAGTCAAAATTCGGCCCCAGGTAGAACAAACATATTGCTTATTAAATTTAAAAACCAATAAAGAAGAAACAAGAAATATATAAGATGAAGTCAACTACTTTAAATGATCAAGTTCTGAGCTATTTCCCTGGGGAGGGTTTAAGACACATAATCACACTTTCCTGGGTAGAGCAAGAGATGTTCCAAAGATGCAGAGGCCCCTAGACCCGAGGCCCGGTGAATGACCATCCACTCTTATCAAAATGCCCCAAAGGGCTAATGACCCCCTGCCATCCTCAACCCTGAAGCTAGTGGCTGCGGATTTGAGTTGCACTCACTAAGAGTACACAGAAGGCAGTTAACCTTGATCACCCTTGTGGGTGGGGTCTGTGATCTGTGAGGGTCCTCTTGCCAAGTAAATGGAAAGAGCTTTAGTGAACTGCATTCTCATTTTGTCTCCTTGATTGGAATGTATCAGCAGATGTAATACTTAGTGTAATTTCCATTTCTGAATCTATTTCTTTAGAGCACCTACCCCTGCCCCCAATTATAAAACAGGATGTCCTAAGTATACAAAAATGAAGAAAATAGTGAAAAATCACCATGATCTACTACCTATAAAAAAAAAAAACCACTAATATTTTGTTCTATTTCTTCAAGTTTCTTTCTGAACTTACTATAAAAAGTAGGGTCTTTATGCACATTATTGCAGAGCCTCTTATGGCTGGGCATATTTGTTTTGGTTTTGATTTTTGCTTTGTCTTTAAGATCTTAAGGAGGATGGTGGAAGTTTCTGAGGATAAGCAATAGACAAGTTTAGAATCATCTTATTTTTAAAGGGAGAACTTTGGAAATTATATAAGAACCAATTAATTCGTGCTACTTGGAAAGATCCTAGAAAAAAAAAGCAGCACATCATCAGCAGACTCCTAAAAGAGTGTAAAAATGCAAGATATTACTAGCTGGCTGTGAACATCATCTTGTGGTAGGAAATCATGCCAAAGCGATTCAAGTATAGTAGACAATGATGATGAAGAGGAAGTCTACAGAGTTTAGCTAAACTTTCTACTCTGCCTCATGTAACAGCCTCTTCAACAAGCCGAAATATTACCATTAGGAGGGAATAGGGTAATGTAGAGGGGTTTACCTGAGGGGTGGGGAGTGTCTCTCCACCACTCTTAGGGTGGCGGCACAGTGGAGGCACACAAATGTTAGCAGCATGTCGAAAGGGACAGAGCCAAGCCCATTTTTAAAGTCCCAAGGGTGGAAACTGCCTTCACTGGAATTTTTTAGGGGTAGGAGTGGAATGAGGAAACATATGTAAGCTCATGGTACAGTTAGATGAGAGGGAATTCTTGAATTAGCTAGTTATTTGTCTGAACATGTAGGAAAGAGATCATTCTCTGGGTAATAAATGTACTCTTTCTATCTTTCTCTATAACTTCCATTTATTGAGCACCTACTATGAGTCAGCTGCCTTGCTAGACATTTTTCCTCATTGCCAGGGCTGACCCCATTGCAAGAGTAATTCTATCCTGGGTTGTTCTCTCCAGCCACTCCCTAGGCCATTCCACAAAGCACACAGCAGGAGAGCAGAGGCAAGTTCACTTACCTGGCCTGCCAGGTTGAAATAAGAATGGTTGGTCAGATTGACTGGTGTGGTCTGACTGGCCTGTGCTCGGTAGTTGATCTTAAGCTCCCCACCATCCAGTGTGTATGTCACCCAGACTTTCAACTCTCCAGGGTAACCTTCCTCACCATCTGGACTGACCCTTGAGAACTGGACGCCATTTGACAGCACTTCAGGGGTCCAGAGGACCTAGAAAAAAGTGTTTTCAAAGCTTTTCAGTCATTGCAATCTTGAGCTAAATGCCACATTTCAATATTAAAGCTAGCTAATTCTAGGAAGAGAAATGGTAGTATGATCTTTATGATGTTTAAATAATTGCTTAGATATTAGTTGTTCTAAAATTTTGTTTATACAAAAAAGTAGACTTCGAGAGGAAAATTTTTTTCTTTCTCTTTACGTATTCATATTCCCTATATTCTTTCTCCCTAAACTTAGATGTATGTGTTTACAATATTTTCTTCCTCCCCTTCTTTAAAAGTTTTTTTTTTAATCTTGGTATCTCATTCTGATAAATGTCATAAGCAATATCTGCCAATGGTATTAAAAGATGACCTTAATAAATCAGCCCCTCTTTTCCAGGAAAATACTATTTATGAATATTTATTTTAAAAAACGCCTCAAGAGTTTCTGTATTCCCTGGGCAGAGTTCCAAACAAATAAGAAGGCACTTGTTCTGTTAGGAAGAGTTCTGCCCACAAGTCAGGAGTCCTGATTTGGGTGCCAGGTTTGTTCTTAGCTCAGTGTGTGATGTCGGGTGGGCATGAGTCCCTGCCACAAAGGGGTTGAAAAAATGATCTTGAAGTTTTCTTCTCATTCTAGAAAATATGATTCTAAGGGTGGCAAGAAAAAGAAGGTTCCAGGAGTTTTTTTGCTTTTGGAAATAGGAAACTTGGATTTGCACAGCGGTTCCTCTCACCTTTGCCCTAGAGGCCTCAAGATTACCCATACAGGGGAGGATTTACTGGGTGCCCATGATGAGCCAAGACACTATGTTAGGAACTGCACAGACACTGTCTTATCTGTCTCCAAGCTGCCTCATTGTAGGCACCATTATCCTCTTTAACGATGAGAGAGCTGAGAGAGCTGGGCTCAGAAAGAATATACTACTTTTCCTAGCTTCTTCCAGCTGGGAAGACAGTGGTCTTATCCTGAGCTTGTTTCCTTATTCTATGCTTTCAGAGAATATACTGCTTGGAAAGCCCGATCCCTTTGGGGAGCCCTGGGGTTCACTAATCAAGAGGTCTTTGCTGACATGAGACCTCTATTTGTTCGGTGCTCACCAGTCACTGACCTGGTGCTTTACATAAATCATTTTATAAGGTAAGGATTTGGTTGAACCAAACAAAATGATTGTCTTTGTAGGTCAAAAGAATTGAACACTGGCAATTTCAAATGGCTCCAACTAATACTATGACCCCATTTTACAGATGAGCAAACTGAATTCAGTGGTGTTACTTTGTCCACTTCCACCTCCCATATTCCAGGGTAGTTGAGTAGAACCTTTCCATACTTCATGCTCATTGTTTAAAACTCTTTTTTAAAAAAATATTTATTTATTTATTTTACAGAGAGAGTGAGTGTGCATGCAATGGGGGAGGGGCAGAGGAAGAGGGAGAGAGAGACAGTGTTTGTTTGTTTGTTTGTTTTTTGAGGGAGAGAGTCTTAAGCAGACTCTGACCTGAGCATGGAGCTGGACAAGGGGCTTGATCTCACAGCTCTGATATCATGACCTGAGCTGAAACCAAGAGTCAGATGCTTAACCCATTGTGCTACCCAGGTGCCCCATGCCTATTGTTTAAAGGGGAGGAAATCTTGTTTAAAGTCATACATGGGGGCACCTGGGTGGCTCAGTGGTTGAGTGTCTGCTTCCGGCTCAGGTCGTGATCCTGGGGTCCTGGGACTGAGTCCAGCATCAGGCTCCCCATTGAGAGCCAGCTTCTCCTTCTGCCTATGTCTCTACCTCTCTCTCTGTGTGTGTCTCTCATGAATAAATAAATAAAATATTTTTTTAAAGTCACACATGTCATTAGGGACAGAACTAGGTTTCAAACTCATGCAGGTAGTCTACACCATTTCACATCTTCATTTCAGTGAATGTTTTGTTTGAATCTCCTTTTTTCAACGGAAGAGTTGAGGCCGAACACTGTCATTCCAAATAGACTTGAAAGATAATAATTGCTGTGGGCTATAAGAATGGTTTTTGAGCCCCCAGGTTCTGCCCACCTGCTTCTAGTGTGGCCTGGATCTCTCTCACTGATGTTGAGAGATACCACATTTACCAGGAAGGGAAGCCCAGCAGGAGCGGAGGCCTCTGCCTTTACCTATGGTGAGAGCAGCTGGTATCTGAAACAAATTCACTGACCTTAGTAAAAAATTAATTTTACATCCTAGTTATCTCCTAGAAATGTTGAACTTTCAAGATACTTAAAATACAAAGCCAGTTATATGCATGATTAAAAAAAGAAAAATATCCCCCAAATGGAAAATTTTAAGAATAAAGTACTTGAAATAAAATGTTCTTAACTTGCTACCTAGTTTTTGTCCTTCAGAGAAAGAACACAGTGGAAAGTTTTTTGTGTAAACCGTCATTATCAGATAAGTATAATTATGTGGAAAATCATTCCTATTCATGCGAGAATATCCCTGACCCTACAGTTTCAAAATTTCCTGAAAATTTTCACATTTGCATCTCTAGGCTTACTTATGTACCATTTCTAACCCTGTTAGGTTATTCAAATTTCATCTTTTAAAAAAAATGTGTTGCTATAAATAGAAAAAGACATATCTACAAAGCAGCTATTATTCAGTAACTGTTGAGATGAAATACAACTTGAAACAAAGTTCACCTGATACTGCTCATGTTTCTGTACAAAAGTTTACAGTTCAAAGCTTTCAATATCTTCAGGATAAATTCCAAGTCTTTCCCCACCCTCTCTGGGCTTCTGCACAGCCATTTTTTCCAGTACCTACTTCCTAAATGAAATGCTATTTTTTCTTCAAAGGATTTTCTTCAAATCCTACCTCCCCAGTTGCCATGAATTTGTCCAGTTTTTAAAACACACTACTGACATCCATATTATGGGGCTTGTTGCCTATAGCAGCTATTTATCTAAGGGTCTGGCTCCTTCACTATACTGGAGTCTCAGAAATCCCCACCATATTGTGCTCCCTGGTTCATAGAAGGGAATCAGTAGGCACGGTGCCCTGAAGGATGTGTATACTATCTTGCTGTGTTTTTACCGGGGACACATGTGAAGCAATATCACAGAAAATACTATAGTGGAATAGAGGGAAGAGGAACAAGCCAGAACAGGTGTTGTTCTGAGGCTTGTCTGAAGATCCCTGTCAGAACACAGCTGGGCCTAACCTCCTCTGGTTGGGTTTTGCCCATGCACCTGCCATATTTCAGAGACCCTCTGCCCTGGGACTGCCAGGACAGGGGCTACCCCTTGCCTTCATGCCTTCCTGGTATGAGGAGTCCCATCATGGAGGAATGGGGAACAGAGGGGCAGTATGGTTCTAGGCCACAGACAGGAAGTTGCTGACAGAGTGACCAACTTCCTTCAAAGGGACAGGTGGCAGTAAGAGGCAGAAAAGAAGAAATGGTGATCTTTAGCTGCCATACATGTTGCGGTATTTTCTGGTTCTTCTTTAGGGAATAAACTGGGTGGTATAATTTAAAGGAGAGTTAGTGGGCAGCCCAGGTGGCTCAGTGGTTTAGAACTGCCTTTGTCCCAGGGCCTGATCCTGGAGACCCAGGATCAAGTCCCATGTCAGGCTCCCTGCATGGAGCCTGCTTCTCCCTCTGCCTGTGTCTCTGCCTCTCTCTTTCTCTCTCTCATGAATAAATAAATAAAATATTTTTAAAATAAAATAAAATAAAATAAATAAAATAAAATAAAATAAAATAAAATAAAATAAAATAAAATAAAATAAAATAAAATAAAGGAGAGTTAGTTACCAAAATTGTTTCCCTGAAATTAGACTAGTAAGAGAGTTGCTGGGTGTTAACCCTCAGACTCCCACACAGTTAGGAAGCAGGCCAGGCATTTCTACCTCAGGGAGAAGCTATCTGATCAATTTGCTGTCCTAAGCTTGTTTTTCCAGGAATTCACTTGGGGAATGGGAGTTTTAATGTGGAAAGGGGTCATTGGGGAAGAATCTGAGGTAATTTTGAGGCATAAGGCACTTCAGTGGAAGGCTAGGCCTGGATGTGGCACACACTGCCACATGGAGAGGGGCTTAATGAGTTTCAGGGGTGTGTGTTGGACCGGGGGCGCCTACAGAAGCCATGGATGACACCAGCAGGTATAGTGTAGAAATGGGGGCGGGGGGGAATCCCTGGGTGGCTCAGTGGTTTGCCGCCTGCCTTCGGCCCAGGGCGTGATCCTGGAGACCCGGGATTGAGTCCCACGTCAGGCTGCCTGCATGGAGCCTGCTTCTCCCTCTGCCTGTGTCTCTGCCTCTCTCTCTCTCTCTCTCTATGTGTTGTGTGTGTGTGTGTGTGTGTCTCATGAATAAATAAATAAAATCTTTAAAAAAAAAAAAAAAGAAAGAAAGAAATGAGGGCTGCAGGCCGGACAGCCCAACCTAGGAGGTACATGGCCTTTCAGACCCTCAGATACCTCATTTGGTGATAACACACGGCTCTAGTAAGCACAAGAGAGAATCCATGCAGATGCCTTGTACAGTTTTCTGTTGTGCCTAAGGTCCACTGGACTTCCTAATGCCGACACTAGGAGAAAGTCATTCCCCAACTTTCCCCAGTCAAGGGCTATCGCCCTTTCACTCATGGCTCCCCTGCCTGTTACCATCAGAGGAGCTACAGAAGGATGAGTCCCGGACCAGGGAGTGCATCTGCTCCCTCCAACCACTGGAGCAGCCTCCTTCCTGTATCACCTCACCATGCATTTGCTATAGGGCCTGGGAGTGAGCCTGGCAAATAGATAGTGTGTTTGAAGGTACTCTGTGAGGGATGCTAGGTGAGGATTCTGTCCAGGGCCCCTGACTCACCTTGTCGAACCCTCGGATTCCTCCATGCAGACTGTTGGGCCCATTGTTAATGGCCAGCTTGTACTCCTTCCCGTCCAATGTGAATGTCCCTTTGGCAATTCGGTTCGCCACCCTGCCAACCACTGCTCCAAAGTAGGGCTGCTTTTGGAGGTAGCCTGCAGGACATGAGATAAAAGTGTTTTTTAAAACTTCAAACCGGGGACGCCTGGGTGGCTCAGTGGTTAAGCGTCTGCCTTCCGCCCAGGGCATGATCCTGGAGATCTGGGATTGAGTCCTGCGTCAGGCTCCCTGCATGGAGCCTGCTTCTCCCTCTGCTTGTGTCTCTGCCTCTCTGTGTCTCTCATGAATAAATAAATAAAATCTCTAAAAACAAAAAAGCCTTCAAACCAGGGGCATCCATCTGCGTGGCTCAGTGGTTGAGAATCTGCCTTTGGCTCAGGGCATGATCCTGGAGTCTAGGGATCGAGTCCCACATGGGGGTCCCCACAGGGAGCATGCTTCTCACTCTGCCTATGTCTCTGCCTCTCTCATGAATAAATAAATACAACCTTTAAATAAAATAAAGTAAAATAAAACTTCAAACCAAAGGTCAGGCTCACAGTACTGCACACCACTTTCTCCTGAGAGAAGCTGAAAGTAATAACAACTTGGACATATTTAAGTCCTCAGGGAAGCACCGAAAAAATGGTGTTCTTTACACACAATGTTTTCTCTTTCCTAAAGTAATGCCTGTTCTTTATAAACAATTTAAAAGAACTTTATCAAGCACAAAGAAGACATTTATTTTTTTTTAAGATTTATTTATTTGAGGGGGGGAAGGCAGAGGGAGAGATGGTCTTAAGCAGACTTTGTGCTAAGCACAGAGGCCCACTTGGGGCTCGATCTCACAACCCATGAGGTCATGACCAAGCCAAACCAAAAGGCAAATGTGCAACCAACTGAGCCACCCAGGTGCCCCAAGAAACTTAAATCATCCTAACCTCATCACTAGAGAGAACTACTGTTAATATTTTTATGTATATGCTCCTGTCTTTTAGTACATGCAGACATGTGCTTTTCTTCATTTTATAAAAATGGAGTCTTAGTTTACATGCTGCTTTGTAATCCGCTCGTTTCTAGGCCAATCTCCTAGGTTATGTTTTTGTATTGTCTTGACAAGAATTCTTCTTTCTTTCTTAATTTTAAAAAAAATAATACAAGGGCACCTGGGTGGCTCAGTGGTTGAGCGTCTGCCTTTGGCTCAGGGTGTGATCCCAGGGTCCTGGGATTGAGTCTCACATCAGGCTCCCCATAGGGAGCCTGCTTCTCTCTCTCCCTCTCTCCATGTGTCTCTCATGAATAAATAAACAAAATCTTGTTTTAAAATGAAAAATAAAAATAAATTATACAATCATTTCATGAAACTATCCTTTATTTTTTAAAAAAGATTTTATTTTATTTATTTATTCATGAGAGACACAGAGAGAGAGAGGCAGAGACACAGGCAGAGGGAGAAGCAGGCTCCTTGTGGGAAGCCTGATGTGGGACTCGATCCCAGGACTCTAGTATCACGCCCTGAGCCAAAGGCAAACGCTCAACTGCTGAGCCACCCAGGTGTCCATGAATCTATCCTTTAAAAAGCATTAAACAAATATATAGAGTGGGTTTGTCAGAGGAAATACAGCACCTGGTTGAATCTGAACACCAGATAAACAATAATTTTTTAGTATAAGTACACCCACATTATTATTATACATGAGACATAGCTGACACTTAAAACCATTTGCTGGGGCACCTGGCTGGCTTAGTCAGAAGAGCCTGTGACTCTTCACCTTGGGGGCTGTGAGTTTAAGCCCCATGTTGGGTGTAGAGATAAATTAATGAATAAAAACTTAAAAAAAATTTTTTTAAACCCTCATTTGTTGTTTATCTCAAATTCATACTTAAGATAAAAATAAAAATATAGGACACCTGTATTTTCACTCACTAAATCAGGCAAACTTAAAAAAAAGTAAAATGTGAAAGAGGCACCTGAGTGCCTCAGTTGGATAGGCATCCAACTCTTGATTTCAGCTTAGGTCATGATCTCGGGGTTGTGGGATAGAGCCCCACATTAGGCTCCATGCTCACAGAGGAGTCTGCTTGAGATTCTTTCTCTCCCTCTACCCCCTCCTTCCCCACTCTGGCTCTCTCTCTCTTTATCTCAAATAAATAAATAAATAAATAAATTTTTTTTAAAAGAAAGAGTAAAATGTGGGGATGCCTGGTTGGCTCAGTGGTTGAGCATCTGCCTTCAGCCCAGGGTGTGATCCCGGAGTCCCAGGATCGAGTCCCACATCGGGCTCCCTGTATGGAGCCTGCTTCTCTCTCTGCCGGTGTCTGTGCCTCTCTCTCTCTGTGTGTCTCTCATGAATAAATAAAAATAAAACTCTTAAAAAAAAAGAGTAAAATGTGAAAGTCCCTCTTTTATGCTTTAACTCTTCTTTTTCCCAGTGACAACCACAGCTAACAGTTTGGCATATACACTTCCATTTTTGTTTGTTTGTTTAATTAACTACAGAGAAGCACATACAAATACCCAAATACAATATTTATATAAAGAGAATTGTACTATGCACATCATTTTGCAACTTCCCATTTATCAAATGCCTTAAGATCTATCCAAGTGACTACATATCCATCTACCATATTCCTTTTGATGGCAACATGGCATATTGATGAGCAAAACTGTTGTTGGGCTTTTTAGGGGGCTATAAAAAGCAATGTGCTTGAGTCCTTTTACTTATAACTTGTGCATGGGCATGTTACATAGATCTTTCCTTCTCTAAGTACCTCTACCATATGATTGCAGTGGTAGAGACTAAGGTTTGGAGGTAGATTCTATATCCATCCCATCTATGTGGATCAGAAGAGTATACAATTCAAGCATATAAATTATTTTTACCATGGCTGGAGGGGCTCTCAGGGTACAGACCCTGGACCATTGGGCCAGTTACAGGTCATAGGTTTCCATTACTCAACCTTGGGCATAAGTAAAACATCAATCATTCTTTGCCAGATCTTTCCTGATTCACTCCCTTGCTAACCTGCAGGTCCTCAGAGTCCTGCCCATGGACTATCATAATAGCTGCCACTGAGTTCTTCCTAAGGCTCAGCTGCTTTCTAAGTGCTCTACATTTGACTAATTTCGCCTTCTGGATAGTTATGAGGTAGACAAAATTATTACTCTCATTTTATAAATATGGAAACTAAGGATAGACAGGTGAAGTAATTTGCCCCCAAATACAACTAGTTATCAGAAGGGAGGTGGGAGTTGGTGGAGAGGTCAGTGTGGCCTAGGAGAAGAGATGGTTGTAAGTTCAATTCACCAGAAAGCCTTGTGCTTTTCAAATAATGTGATGCTTAAGAACAAGTACTCAGGAGCCAGACTGTTTAAATCCACATTCTTCTCATAACTAATTGTATTTCAGAAACCAATGCTGCCAACTGTCTCCAAAAAACAAATGGATTTTATACTATCTTCATATGTTTACTTAGCTTTTATATCAAATCAGATTTATAAAAAGTGACAATCCTCAAATTCTGAACAGGACATGACTAAACAGCTTGTTTTGAAGTGCAGAAAATAGTGTTTTCCATGTAAAAAGGACAAAGTTTTCTAGGTCAATCCACAAATGATGATTTAATCAAGCCAATTGCCCATGTCGGGTAAAGAGCAAAGGAATAGTCTGTCCCTTTTCCTGGGCAAAGGACTGGCCAGAATGTATTAATGGATCTCTCCACTCCTCTAGCATCCCACAGACCCCAGCTGGGCAGTCCACCTCATACAGCCCAAACCAGCCAAAGTGCCCTGAAGTCGAAATAAAATTGCCTTCCAATCCCAGTCTAAGCTCCAAACTGAATGACTTTCCTTTGGCTTTGGGAGAGAAACAAACACTACTTTAATTGACAAGCACTTTAATTGTCCCCAATATTTTCTCTATTTTCAAATGGCTGCTGGTTGTCCACATGGATCTTCACGTCCCTTCCCCCCTTTTTAAAGATTTTATTTATTATTCATGAGACACAGAGCGAGAGGCAGAGACATAGGCAGAGGGAGAGAAGCAGGTTCTGTGTGGGGAGCCCGATGCGGACTCAATCCCAGGACCCTGGGATCAGGACTGAGCCAAAGGCAGCCGCTCAACCACTGAACCACCCAGGTACCCCTCTTCCTGCCCTTTTTTCAGTGTTAAGCAAGAGATGTAAAAGGTTCAAGTAGTGTGAGGGGAAGATATTTGGGGGCAGGGGAAGGAAAGGAGATAAAAATTATTGATGGCTCACTACGGACAGACACTATTGCAACCGGAAACACATTTCCTCATCATTACCCATTAGTTAAGGTGAGGAAATAAGTCTAGGGAGGTGAAATAACTTGCTTGGGTCCCACAGCTTTAAGGGACAAAGTGGAGATTTAAATCAGGAATCCCCAGTGCTCCTACAAGGGCACTCTTGGGCATGTGAAGTACCACACCACAGCCTTTAAACCCGTCCCATTTCCTCCACCCCCTATGAACTGTGGTTTTCTAAAAGCATGAAGTCTGTTTTTTCTACTTTTTCCTTTCCATAATGGCTCTCATGGCAATTAATAGCTGGGTATTTGGTGGTAACTGGGGGGGAAGGCAAGGGGGCAGAACAGGCACTGATTGTGTGGGTAGGCTGTTTTATACCTGTGGCTTATAGGCATATAGTCTCATCACAGGTTTTGAAAGAAGTCATAATGACTGTGGGTGGGACCCGAAGATGAAAAGCACTTTAAATATTTTAAGTACAAAAAAATGGCAGAAAAATTCATAGGAGGCATTACTAATTTTTCCAGGCTATAACTAAAAGATCATATGGTTTACCTCTTTAGAATTCTACAGAAGAAAGATCTAATTTTCCCAGGGAGAAATTGAACCATTCTGACCTCCGGTCATGGCCATGATCCAAACAGTTTATATCATCTATCTGGGAAACTGGAGAGAGTTCACATCGAACCTGGCAGTTACAAAAGGACCCTGTCTCATGGAATTACCCATGCTTAGCTCCTTCCTGTGGTTCAAAACGTTTCAGGGAAATAGTAATGTCAAGATAACCCCCTATTGTCATATTCTGTTATGTGTTAGAGCTTTAAATGATTTACCTCAGTTTTGTTTATATAATACTTACATATTCAGATATTCGAAATGAATCAACAGTGAAAATTAAGCCTCCTTCTAACAATCACTGTTAGCAATTTCTCTCTCTTTTTTAAGATTTTATTTTATTTTTTAAGTAATCTCTACACCCATGTGGGGCTCAAACTCACAACCCTGGGATGGAGAGTAGTTTGCTCCACCAACCAAGCAGGTGCCCCACTTTTGCCAGTTTCTTAACATGGGTTTTAATACACAAAAGTTCGTCAAAATAGTAGCAGAGCGCCATTTCACACTATTCTAACCGAGACAAGTATGCTTCCTGTTATGACATATATGAAGTCTTCTTTTATCTTCAGCAATACTGAAAGAATCTACAAAAAAACTGAAAGACAGGGCTGTAAAAAGGGAACAAAGGGCCACTTGCATTAACCACGAAGATGGGTACACATATTAGAAAGCATTACTTGATATTGTGAGGGCTTTTTTCCAACCTCTCCTCTTCTGCAAATAGCTTGCTTTCCTTTTAAAATCAGTAATTCAATTATCTAGGGGCGCCTGGGTGGCTCTGTCAGTTGTGTCTGCCTTTGGCGCAGGTCATGATCCCTGGGTCCTGAGACTAAGTCCTGTGTCTGGCTCCCTGCTCCCTGCTCGGCGGGAGAGCCTGCTTCTCCCTCTCCCCCTGCCTGCGGCTCCCCCTGTTTGTGTTCACAAGCTCTCTCTCTGTCAAATAAATAAATAAAATATATTTTTTAAAAAGCCTTAAAGGGACGCCTGGGTGGCTCAGTGGTTGAGTGTCTGCCTCTGGCTCAGGGCATGATACCAGAGTTCTAGGATCAAGTCCCACATCAGGCTCCCTGAAGCGAGCCTGTTTCTCCCTCTGCCTCTGTCTCTCATGAATGAATAAATAAAATCTTTTTAAAAAGTTAAAAAAATTGAAAAGCCTTAAAAAATAATTCAATTATCTAAATTATAGCATAGGAATGAGGATGTCTATCTTGACCCAATAACCAAAATATGTTAGACATTTTGATTCAAGCTTTCAGGAATGAGGATGTCTATCTCGACTCACCACCCAGAATATTTTAGACACTTTGATTCAACCTTTTTTGTGAAGCCTAATAAGAAAATGCTATTTAACGTTCTCAAGACATGTTACTAACGTGGAGGGCAATACAGCACAAGCTAGATCACTGTAATCCGAGGGGGATCTATTTTTTTTTCTCCCTTTTAAGAACCTGTGGGGATAGTACTTTCTTCACTTAGACTCCTGCAGAAGTCACAGACTCCCAGGGATGGCTCCACTGTATGGATGCCCCCTCACAACATCGACACTTCCATGCTTACAAAGACACTGCTGTTTCCCAGGTGTCATGTCATGGCACGTGGTTCATAAGAAGCCCACAAAGACGCCTTGTCTTTTAAGATCCGTGTGACTCTTGGGACGCCTGGGTGGCTCAGCGGTTTAGCACCTGCCTTCAACTCAGGGCGTGATCCTGGAATCCCGGGATCGGGTCCCACATTGGACTCCTTGCATGGAGCCTGCTTTTCCCTCTGCCTGTGTCTCTGCCTCTCTCATTCTGTGTCTCTCATGAATAAATAAAATCTTAAAAAAAGAAAAAAAAGATCCGTGTGACTCTTATATCGGAATTAAAAGTGGTAAGGAGTGAGGGTAGGTGAATGTGTATGTGTGTAGAGGTGCAGAGGGAGGGCGTTTATATCCTGAGCAGTGATAAGGCAGAGATGGAAGAGGCGATAAAAAAAAAAAAAAAAAAAAAAAAGCAGATGCGGACAGCTTAGCATCTCCAATGCTTTGCTGGCTCTGGAATTCTAGGCACTATGTCCAATTTTTCGACCCCACTGGGCAATTTTGCACCAGCCAAGTAATCTCTTTGTGATTCTGTGTCAGCATAGAAAATAGTTATGCTACTAACAGGTGACTCAGCAAAATGATTCCCAAGAATTGTCTTTTGTCACTCGTCAACCCCCTTGCCTTCTGACTCTGATGACAGAAGATCTGAACCCCCACCAGAGAAAACCAAGACCCAGAGTCTTCTGTTGACTTTTAACCATAAGCCATGTTACATGTCTAAAGAACCAAACAGATAGAAAGACACACCTAGAGGAAAACCTCAAACCTCCTCTAGCAGTTTTTGCCCCGGCCCCTTCCACTGAGCAAAGGGCCTTTATCTTCAAGCAGATTCCCTTCACCAACTTTATTTCAGACCTCATCTCCTGCCTAGCTACACGGTAGTGACACGAGAGCGCTGCGTACATTTTCCTTTGCTGAGATCAAACTGCAACTGCAATTACTTCTGAATGCGATTATTTGGCTAATGTCTATCTCCCCAGCTGAAGAGCAAGCTCTGTGAAGGTGACTGAGGACCTTGTCTGAATGAGATAACTGAATGAACAGTTTTTGAATGCACAGAAGAATACATCATCCCAATTGCCCATGGATTCCCATAAAGTGGAGGTTCATTCTAGTGGGAGACCTCATTGCTAGACAATGAGTGGGTCTTCCACTCTTCAATGAGCAGCCAGCCAATGCTGGGCACTATATTACTCCAGCCCAAGTGGCTAAATTGTCTGCACCCACTGAGCCATGTTGGAGCATTTCTGAGACACCAAGAGAAGGAGGCCTCCAAGAGAAGTCGATGAAGAAGAAAGGAAGTAGAAGAGGAAAGAAAATTAAAAAAAAAAAAAAAAGGGGGGAAGTAGACGAGGCAGGTCTTGATTTGTCCTTCTACAAAAAGAACCTGAGGGAAGAACTGGGAGTCACACCCCCTTCTCAGCCAGCTTTTCCTTCTTTTTGCCCTCGGGTTCAAAGATGGCTCCTGGGTTACTGGGGTTTCATCTTACCTTCAACTATTCTCAATTAATTAAAGCAGAGCCTAAATAGACAACCAGAGGCCATGTCCTATAGCTGTTCCCACTCATTCGTCTTTTCCCGGTCAATGGATGGAAACACAGAAAGTCGGCGGGCTGCAGGCACCCCTGACGGCGACAAGCTCGGCGACAAGCTCGGGGCTTCCCCCTGGGTCCCGGGCAGCAGCCCGACCCAGGGGGCGTGTGCGGGAGGGCTGGGGGCCCGCAGCCAGGGCAGAGTTCAACCCACCTTCCAGCTCTGCAAAGCCGAGCACCACATCTGACGCCCTGCCCTGCCTGTCTTTGACCTCCAGGGCCGTAATGGTGCAGCCCCAGGAGATGATGTCCACTTTGAGCAGGTCAGACTGCAGGTGGAACTTCTCCACTGTCCCTGCCCCTGAGGGCAGGTCCCCGAACACGGCTCTAGTCACCGAGACCATGGGCACAGCCAGGGGCGTGCAGCGACTCCCGGCCCTGGGAACTCCAGCCGCCGAGGCAGGAGCGGGAGAAGTTCACAGGAGAAGAGGCGGGAGAAGAGGGCCCAGGCCCCTCCCCTTCCTTGCCTAGATTCAGGGAGTGACCATTCCTGCAAAAAATATCCCCTGGCGACTTTCTGAATCTTTCCTTTGCCTGAGGGTGACAGGGAGGCAAAATTTCCAGACGGTCTTTTCCTTTGCTAACCCTGGCTGCATTGCATGTTGGGAGTGGTAGTCTTTGAAAGGTGAAATTGCATCTTGGGGCCTGTAGTCTTTCTACAGGCCAAACCCAAACCCTGAATCTGCGGGATGCTACCCCCGTTCCTGGCACGCGGTTCTCAAACAGGTGCCAGTGAGCTAGCTGTTCATTAACGTTGGTGGCAGACTTTCAGATGAAATCCTGGAAAACACAGGGAGCAGAATTAGACACAGACGAATGTGGGGGGTGGGGGTGGGGTAGGAGATTCTGGTTTTAAATGAACTCTTCGATCCCGAGGAGAAAGAAGTACAGAAGTGCAGAGGTGATTTAGAGAAAGGGCAAATAAGTGCAGGCGACTCTGAACACTGAAGAGTCATTCTGTTTGTCCCACACAGTGAAGCTCTGGACATGCTTGTGCTGGCTGTGGACCTACAGTAGCGGCCCAGCTGGACAGAATCAAGTGTAGATAAGGTAGGGCTTGGTTCCATGGAGGTGGTCAGAGACAGCATCTGACTTTCTTTACCTCAGGGCTGCGGGGAAGGGCCTTGAGGATCTACCCCATTTGGTTCATGAAATCCAAAATTCCTTTAAGAAGGGATTAAGGGAGGGTTCCCTGGGTGGCTGAGTCAGTTAAGATCATGATTGAGGGTTATGGGATCAAGTCCCAGGCTCCCTCCTCCATAGGGGAAGTCGGCTTGCTTGGGGATTCTCTCCCTTTGCCCCTCCTCCAGCTCACATGCTCTGTCTCTGTCTCTCAAATTAATAAATAAATCTTTTAAAAAAAAAGAGAGAGGGAGAGAGAAAGAAGGAATGAGGGAATATTTATTAAGTTCCCCCCTAAATGTCACATACTGTACTTTCATTATCTCTTCTACAAGCAGAAAAGGGGTGGTGGGAGAGGAAAAGACAACAAATCATGCTGTAGAGTGCCTCAAAATTACCTGAGATTTTTCAAGAATGTGTATTTACAGGCTTATTCCTGGAATTTCTGATTCTGTGAGTCTGAGGGCAAGACTCAGGAATCTGCCCCTTTCGTTTCCTAGGTTATTCTAATGCAGATTATCTGGGACCAGACTTTGAGAAATGCTACTTAACAGTTTGATGACTGATCTCTTGTGGGGTTTTTTTTTCCCCAAAAAAATAGGCTCTGATGCCATAAGACTAAGATAGAGCTCCTAAAGGCCTTAACAGGATTGTCATATAAAATACAGGAGCCTGTTTCTTTGCTAAATGTGTCAAATCTAGACAGTACTGGGCCTAGGAAGGAGGAGGATGCTGGAAGCCAGAAGACATGTTTTACTTGACCACCTTTAGACTCATCTATGCTTGACACTGCTTTCAGTTTGGTTTCTAGGTTCTGCAGCAGGAATCCAAGTAGACCGCAGTAAGCGCCAAAATGCATCCATGATTGGAAAATGAGGAGAACTGGAATCGTGTTCCTGGAATCAGATGCTAATGCAACATAACTGTTTCTCAGCCCTCTCTGTCTGCAGTTTGCAGGAATATTTAACATTCTTGCCACAAGCCTCAATTCTCATTCATGAAGCAGGGGAATTGTGATAGCAAAGGAAAAAGAGAGCTTGCAACAAGCCTTGGTGAAGCGAAACACATAATAACAAAAAGACCCAAACAAGTCAAATTACAGACTGCCCCAGCCTCACACAATAGCCGATAGCGCTCTTGCGTGCTGCTTCATCAGAAATTCTCATAAACTCTGCAATCCTCATCAGCCCACTTCACATTTGTGGCTGATTCATATACGAGCCCTTTCGGCAATGCTGTGTTAGCACTGATGTCTCAGACTCTCTTCTGTGGGCAGGAAGACTGCATTTTCTTTTCTCAGCCTCCAGTTCTCAATGTTCTGCCAAGCTCATGTTGTCACAGAAAGAGATAAATGCATTTGAATGGCCAAAGCCAAGTGTCACTAAGGGAGGTATTGTAGCTAGGCTTGGTAGAAAATGAAACAGACTATGATGTCTCTGTAAGATGTAAGGGGACATTTCTTTATTTCACTTTCCTTTCACTTTTAAGGGCTTAACATATTGTTCTAACTAGAACTAGCTTGTGCTAGGTCAGCTGTCAGGCCTGAACCCTGACTTTTCTTACCAAAATATCCCATTTTCCTAGTGATACTCTAAAGGGATATTTGTACACCTGGGACATCTGGCTGGCTCAGACGGTAGAGCATGTGGCTCTTGATCTCAGGGTCATGAGTTCAAGCCCCATGTTGGGTGTGGAGCCTACTTAAAATAAATATATTAAAGGAATATTTGTGAACTTAAAAAAAAAAAGGAAGAAGAGGCACCCTAAATCTAAGGAAATATTTTCCATCTCCAAGGTTGGATTAGGTCAGAAGTAAGATAGTAACTTTGAAAACGAAGCATTGTCAAATTCAAGGAAGTATTTATTTTTATTTTTGGAATGGGCACCAAGGGTGAAGTTATGAGGTAAAAAGAGAAGGAATTGTAACATTTATGTCAAGAGGAGTTGCTTAAAATAGATACCTTTTCTCTCAACCAGAGAGTGTGGTGCCAGGGTAGACAGGTAAAGAATAAGGTCAGTTTTTATTCTTTGCTAGAGGTTAATCTCCAAAGTTGAGTGCTTGGGGTGCTAGGAATGAGGAGATCTGAGTCCTTGGACCCTAGGCCCCGCCTCCTCATTCTGTATAGACACTGCAGGTGTGCTGCTCCTGGGACCCATCAGACCCAGGGTCCATGGAAATGGCTCCAAAGCTTTAAGCCGTTGACAAGGTGTTAGGCAGAGGAAAGTCTCTGAGCCATAATAATAAAACCAACTCACCACACTTCACAGTTTGTCTATAAAGAGACCCAGAATAGCTTCTTTTCAGTTGATTAGTTACCATCTTCCTGTTCGCTTTGTCATTGCTCTGAACTCGAATAGTGTTTATCGTCAGTTCTCTTCATTGGGCACTCAACTATGCAGTGTCTTAGATCATTCTTTATCTTTCCATGAGTACATTTTGTTGTTACTCTTTACTCAATTATTGGCTCCCTGACTTGATATTTTGACTCATACACTTTTTGCAACCTCAACAACACTATATGTGGTTTCAGAAGAAACCTACTCATCTGGAAGCCCAGAATGCCTGGGAGAATCCCAACAGGATCACCAGAGGCAGAATTCTTCACACTTCAACTCACCTGTTTCATCAATAATTTTGGAGTGATTGCTGGGGAAAGTATGATGAGGGCAGATGAAAAGTTGTTGAGGAAGATGGATTAAATTTTGCTGTACGACATGTTCATTCATCAAAGATTCATTAAGTATGTGCCAGGCACTGTGCTAAGCTCTGGTTGCCCATTGATATGTAAAACCTGATCCTTGAGACGCCTGGGTGGTTCAGTGGTTGAGCATCTCCCTTTGGCTCAGGTCATGATCCCGGGGTTCTGGGATCAAGTCCCACATCAGGCTCTCTGCAGAGAGCCTGCTTCTCTCTCTGCTATGTCTCTACCTCTCTCTGTGTGTCTCTCATGAATAAATAAATTTTAAAAACAAATCAGGATCCTTGCCTTCAAGAAGGTTACAGTCTTAATATGATACAATGCTCATCTCTATCTTCCATAAAGCCTTCAGTAAAATCTTCAGAATTCATTACCAGTGTTGAATGAAAAAAAAAAAAAAAAAAACACTGGGACTGGCCTCAAAGGAGTTGTAGTTTCAGGATTGCCCAGAGATATTCAGCTTTATTAGGACTATTTTAGAATTTCCTAGCACCAAACACGGGGACTGGCAATTTTAGATGCTCAGTAAATAATCATTGAGTGAATACATGATGCATTCATATTTACAATGCTGTAATGGAAAACTGGCTCTGATATCAGAAGACCTGGGTCCAAAAGGCATTGGAACTTACTGGCCAGGCAATTTGTTCAACCATTCTGAACTTCAGTTTCCTCAACTATGAAATGGGAATACTATCCTATTTTTATTGGGATTGGTCCATCCAATTTTTATTAATTGGTTGCTAGTAAATATAAAGTGCTAAAAATGTACTGGCACCATGATAAACACCTCTAATGAATCAGACACTATTACCTGATACAGAAACCGAGACTTACTGAGGTTAACGAACTTGTTCAAGGTCACATGATTTCTAAGTCAGGAAATCAAGATTTGATCCTGAGCACTTTGACTGCAGAGATAGGAGCATTTAACTACTTCTGTATATGCTGCCTGGTACTGCGGTCAACTGAGAACCTGGATTCCAAAGCAATTCTAATATATTACGCCAGTGTAAAATATTCATCTCCTAATTTTTATGGTAATTACAAGTTTAAAAAATGAGTTTCTGGAATTAGGTCACATTGAGCTCAAGAGGGCATTGCATTCATTTACTGTAGGTTAAGAAGGGCCCAAGGAGAAGAGCTAGTCCTTGGCACCCATACACTCTGGAAAGGAGGCTCTCATCGCCTCCAGACCTGTTATATTGTCATTTGTTTACTTGTTATTAGGTCTTCTGTCAAGAAAATGAAAGCTCCAGGAGAGCAAGAATTTTCACTGCTGTATCTCAATAACTAGAACAGATTAGAAGACACTAAAAAATATTTGTTGAATGATGTTTGAATGTGGGACAGGATATGAAGCATCTCTTGTACATAGCTGGTAGAAATCTCAACTGATAAAACCATGTTGGAGGACAACCTGTCAATATCTAATAAAGTCAAATTGCATGTAACCCAGCAATTCCGTGTCTTGGAATATACACTAGATGATTTTTTGCATACAGGTTTAAGAATATTTATAGCAGGGATCCCTGGGTGGTGCAGCGGTTTGGCACCTGCCTTTGGCCCAGGGCGCGATCCTGGAGACCCGGGATCGAATCCCACATCGGGCTCCCAGTGCATGGAGCCTACTTCTCCCTCTGCCTATGTCTCTGCCTCTCTCTCTCTCTGT